TTCCCTCGGTTTTAGAGCCTTGTGGAATATTTAGAGACGATGGCAAGAGACCCGACGGTATGACATTGGTCCCTTGGGAGAGAGGTAAAGCCCTAGTGTGGGATGCTACTTGCGTAGACACTCTGGCGGCCTCTCATCTCAGGGGTACCTCGTTTAAAGTCGGGGCGGCATCAGAGGCAGCTGAGCTGGGTAAGTGGCGCAAATATGAGTCTCTGAGAGATGACTACATATTTGCGCCATTTGCTGTAGAGACTATCGGTCCGTGGGGTCCACGTGCGGTGAAGTTCCTAAAGGAACTCCATCCGCGTCTGGTCGTTGCTGCTGGTGATAAGAGGGCTGGTTCTTTCCTCGCTCAAAGGCTATGTATAGCCATTCAGCGGGGAAACGCAGCCAGCGTTCTTGGCACGATACCGCGGGGAGTAGGACTATATGATAATTAAGTTTGTAGTTTTAGTTTTTTTTTTTATTATCATGGTTTTTTAATATTGTAGATAAAATTAAGTATTATGTAAAATTGTAAATAAAGATTTAAATTTTATTATAAATAAGCATAAAGATCCTACTAAGTTTTATACCGAAACTATTTATTTCAACACAAATATAAACTTTGAAATGTCTACTAAGAAACTTATTTAATAAATCTCTACCACAGTGTTTCAAAGGAAAATTATTTCCAGGAAAATATGTTTGAGATATTTCAGTCTGTGCTGCATCTGATGCGCTATGCTTTTTTTACCAACATTCATTAAAAGATAAGAGTGTAAAATGACTGAATAACTTATTTGCTTTAGGTTATGTTTTTTTTTTCGACAAAGAAAAATAGTCGAGCAAACATTGAAAGTATATTTTTTGTTACAGATTCTTAAAGAGTCAAAATTTCAAAATTAACCACAGCAGAAGCCTTTTTCCAAACTAGTGGTAAAATCATAGACATCTCTCAATAAGCATTCTTTGTTATCACTATAGAATAAATATTTTCATATTCTATTTTCATTTCTTGTCGTTTCAATTTTTATTTATTCTTTTTGTTGCTCATTTTCTTTTTCTGATATCTTATTCTTATTTTAATCTATAAGATCATTTATATAAAATGTAGAAGTTATTACTGATGCTAAAATGGGTATTCTGAATCAGTTTTTTTGTTTTTATTTATTCGCATCGTACTAATGCCACAAGAAGATACAGTCTGTTGTGATCTAGGGTAGAAATTGAAAAATTACTATCACGCGTTATATATCTTGATTTAAGGACTTGTGTTTTAGTTACTGAATTACCTAACTAGTTTGAAGAGCCAGATGAAATAAATCTTTACTGTTTCACATCTATTTCCAGAAACTCAGAAAGGTCATAACTCTAAGATAAATTTCAGATGATCTGGGATTGATAATTTTGACTCTTCATTAAATGCATAATATGTTAATATTGTTAGAGTAAAGTTTGTACAACTATCTTTTATCGTATAATCCACCCTGAAGCATCATTTTGAATATGACGGCCTTATTAGCCAAGAGTAAAGTTAAAAACTAAACTTAAAAACATAAAAACCCAACTACGACAAAAAACGCGGTAATTTTTTTAAAGTGGTAGAGCAAATTGAAGCTTTATTATAGTTGCAGCACAAATGGGCTCGACCAGGGAAGGTCTAAGCTCTCACAGAATACCAGTGTGAAATAGCAGCATTTCGTGTTTCGCATGATGAGCGACGATAACTGAAGACCCTTTTTACTGGTATCGAGACATCCCATTTTAGTCGTCGTTAAGGGTGACAAATAATCTACATTTCGAATCTTAATCAAGACTATGGGCCACAACAACCACTTACCATCTGGAAGTCTGTGCGCTCGTTTGTCACTTCTATTCTATGATAAAAGTAAACTTTCTTTTTAGTTCTTTTGACATAATTTTTATTAATATTTTTTAATATGATCCTCTTGTGAAATACAATAATATTATGAGAATTCAGAATATATTCATGTATGTTAAGGAACATGGTAGTTAATACAATTACATTACAGCCTTTAAAAGTTTACTACTGAACAATCTATCTCCCGCATAGATTGCCTCGTAGAGGGATTTGGCCACACGTGGCATGCGAGTTGGCAAGCGCAGCTTTTTATAATTTTATGTTATCAAGAAAATTTTGCTGTCCATATCTTGTTTCAGTTTTCCTCTGTCACATATTACAACCCGATAAAGGGGCAGTGGATATTCTTACACTGCCACTGCAAGGTTATTAATATATTAGATTAGACGTGGTAGAGCCATGCCGCAGCTATATTTCTGGTATAGGTGTAACACGAATGGGTCGGTTCGACCGGGGAAAGACCACGCTCTCACAGAATACCAGCGTAAAATAGCAGCTTAATGCTGCTGTGTTTCGTATGGTGAGTGTAGAGAACCGGAGACCCTTTTTACTGGAAACGAGGCATTCCATCTTAGTCCTCACGGGTGACAACGCATCTGCATTTTGATTCGTAATCGAGGATAAATGTAGATGTCTATGTGCCACAGCAACCACTTACCATCAGGTGGACTGTGAGCTCGTTTGTCACCCTTATCCTATTAAAAAAAATATACTTAGTTGAATTTTTACTCTATTATTATAGATATTTAGTTAATTGAATTTGATAATACCTATAATGTTTTATCGCATAACATTTTTAGAATAGTATTTTAGGCATACTACTTAGATTTATGTATACCTATACGTATATTAACTTTTATCTAATCTATAAATTTTCGGAATAAACTCATTCATTCCATTGGACCTTCCATTAGATTGCGATAATATTATTTAATTTTTTGTAGCACTCAAAATTATAAACAATTATGGTAAAATTTACGTGAGGTACTCGTATATACCTATGAAAAAGTATGACGCTTCTTAGGGTGCGTACATATCAAGTAACATGTTGTATAACTTTTGTTTTATAACACGTCCACATTATGTAACATTGTTTTCAACATTGCAACATATAACAATACTGTACACATTACAATAACAATGCAATATAACAATGTTATATGACATTGTCGTATGACATTGTCGTTTGTCGTTCTGCCGTTCGAATTATATAACATTTGTGTTATATATCACGTTTTATAACATTCAGCCTCCAAATAACTGAAAGATGTCATATAACAACGTTATATAACATGCTATGTTATATAATGTGTGCGCACCGTTACAGTACTCCATGTGTCAAAATAGGATGAGTAGTTCAGAAGATCTGCGGAAACAGATGTACATACTCGTATGATGTACATACATAGCCCGTTAAAAACATACTCCTCCTTTAGGTTTTGCCGCAGTTGGGTGAATTATTTTTTTTGTAAACAAATTTTGACTCCAGTGACTGTTTGTGACTGTTATACAAGTAATAACACATAAACAATAAATAAATCATCCCCATAATATTAAATTAGATATTGCACCATGCTATACATAATCAAATCACAGCAACGTTTCCAATTAATTAATGAAAAATACCTAAACATTAAATAAATTACGAAATTTTCTATCACAGAAAAAACAAAACAATTGTACAAAAGCGATAATCGTTATGTTGTATTACTTCAAGGATACCTTGGTAAATTTATTTATGCATTTTACGTTTCTTCCATTACATTTAAACACGTTGCAAAATTATTAAAGAAGGCAGGATTATTTAAGCAAACTTCTTGCAGCTACGAGTACAATACAATAAAATACAATACAGTACAATAAAAGTAACTGCGTAAAAATAATTTACTATGCTACATATAAATTCCAAACCGAGTGGCAACCTCGTACCGGTGGTATAATGATGGTGATGATTATATTCCAGAATAATTTATTAAGAGCAGATATTTATTCTAGGTTTCACACTCATGATAACAAAGATAGCGTATTACGGGACCACATATTATTTGAAATCTTACATACGATCACAGAATAAATATAGGACTTTGAAATGATTTTATTTTTCCAATGAAACGGTTACACCTCCTGGTACATGGCTAAGAGCATAGACCTCATTAATTTCAATCGAATAGATACTAAATAATAATAAGCACCTCGTGACGCGCATCGAACACTGTCTACTAATGTTATTACAAAGTCAAATAATTGCCATAGTTTCATTACTTTAAGTCTATAATTGTTGTAAAATACTCTACACATCCGATTTAATTTAAATATATTACGTTTATTCATCATTGCAACTTAAAACTTTAAAGTCACCTATTGAAATTAAACTGGTCATTATTTTTTTTTAATACACAAGTAATAATGATCAGTATAATTTGAATAAAATAAAAAATTTAATACACCTACTAGTAACACTATAAGAAGCGTGATTTTATATCCTTGAGTGTCGTTCTATTCTAAACCATTCTCGTATTATTAAAAAAGTAATTATCCATCCATCTATCCATTACAACCTATAAAAGTCAACTGCTGAATAATAGGCCTCTCCAATGGATTGCCTCATAGGGAGGATTATGCCATAGTTGCCACGTTTGGAAGGCGGGCTTGCAACCGCAGTTTTTTAATATTTTAACTTCGATATCAGGAAGATGCTGCTGCCAATCTTTTGTTTTAGTTTCCCTCTGTCGTCTCTTTCGACACCCACGGGACGACATGGGTCAGTGGATATTCTTACACCGCCACAACACGGTACGGTAAAAAAGTTAAGATATAGTTTAAAAGTATAAAAAAAATTCATCCGTTGGTTTTTAAAACATGCGATACAAGAATAATTTTAAAAAGTCCTCAAGACATTTTTGCTAACCAACATCCACATTTCTGTGCATGTCTTGTGTGTTATCTAATAATGTGATTAACTAGAACTTAAAAATTATATAATAAACTGTAATGGAGAAAGTTAAGGATGTATCATTTTAATTAACATAAAAAAAACATTTTACATTTTGTTTATTTTTATCTACAACAATTATGTAGCATAAGTATATAATTCACAAGCATTTCATGTTTAAACACAATCTTTTATCATTTTATTTTATATTTCATTACTATTTTCTTTCAACCATGTATATTTATAAAATATTGCCGATAGAGATCCCCCAAGTAATGGACCGACCCAATAGACCCAGTGCGCATTCCATGTACTTGTCCAAACAGCTGGCCCCAAAGACCGTGCTGGGTTCATACTTGCACCTGTATAAGGACCCCCAGCAATTGATAGCCCAGCAATAGTGAAACCAATCTTCAGAGAAACAGATTCCAAGGAATCTTTGTTCACTGGATCCCACACAGAGCAATTGAGGAAGTTTAATGCGGCTGTTAGAACTACTTCAACACCCAATGCCTGGAGCATAGTGAGCTGTACATGAGGTTGGGTTGTACAAATTCCATCTGTGATCAAATCAACTGGAGATATTGCTACTAATATTCCATATCCAGCTATAGAGCCCGCACACTGAGCTAAAATATATGCAATACCAGTGGCGATAGATATTTTTCCCCAGAGCAAAGCAGCTAATGTAACGGCCGGGTTCATATGTGCTCCAGATATATGTCCAAATGCCTGAATATTAAAGAGAATAATCAAGCCAAAACCTAATGGCCCATATAAAAGTGGTAGATGCGCCAAGCTGGATATTGGCACACAAGACATGCATCCTAGTAGAACTAGAAGTAACGTCGAAATGAATTCTGCCAATTCTGCCTTCCACGGTATAGAGAAGTTAATGATTTTCTTCGTTTTTGAAATTTTCATACTTTCCTTTACGGAAACACTTTCGATCACATTAACTATGTGATTCCCGGGAACAATAGTCATTATTAACACTCAATTAGAACATTAGTTCATAATATTTAAAAATACGTTAAATTCACTTCAACTGTTCACGGTTAGTTCACTTGTTTTTTGTCGAAAAATTTTCGGCTTTTATAAATACTTTTGGTAAACTATTCCTCAATTTTAATCCGCTTGATAAATTTAACATTGAAGTACTGTAATATCTATTAAAACAAATATAGGACTGATATGAAGCAATAAAAGTTATTTTATCATTGAAAATACGGTGTTGTCGATATAATGCCACTATTGCTAAACTGAATATCGCAGACATTCTTTTTTTACATTTAGTTGTGGGTAGCCGTAACACATCTCCTTACTCCTTATTGACTGACACGACGCAGTTTGAGCACAATTGTTTAACAACGTATAGATATTGAATAGTATGTTACGGGATGACATCAACCGTATTTACTTTGGGTACTTATCATTACTATCATAAAGCGGGTACACATAAAATATTCACCACAAAAGGGTCAAATTAAATATGCAATTTTGTCTTAATAATTTAAAATGATAGATAATACAAATATCATCTACCAGACGCAATCGGTAACATCCGCTGGCAGGCAAAGAAAGATCAAAACTAAATGTGCGTCATATTTACTTCCTCGTTTATTATTTGTAATTGATACTTACGAAAGTAAAAAAAGTAAAGTAACATAACAGCCTATATACGTCCCATAGCTGGGTATAGACTTCGTCTTATTTCTTAGAACGTTTTAGGACAAGGAAATGTCTGCCGCGCTGCCCAAATGCGTGTTGGCGAACTTCACATGAAGTCTTCGAAATACGATTTAGACATGCAGGTTTTCGCATGATGTTTAACACCATAACACAACACTGCAGCACATAAAATTACAATCAACAATTTCATAGGTACCGGCGAGGATCCAACACGGATTGCTAGCGTACTGTGATATGGCTCAGCCTAGTGAGAGCTGAGCTACCGTACGCTGATAGAAACATGTATGAACCAAGCGGTCTTAAAAATTAGTAGATTAATTTCTTAGATTAATCTATTAAAATTATAAAATTAATCCGTTAATAATATTAAAATTAGAGCCGTGTTAGCTCAGATGGTTAGTACTCGCTGTAAGCTTCACAATACTCGAGCAACCCGGATTCGAACCCCGCCGGCACCAATGAAATTGTTAGTTGCAATTTTAAGTGCTGATTTACCACGTGCTCGGCGGTGAAGGAAAACATCGTGTGGAAACCGGCATGTCTGAGAAATAAGAAAAACAATATTTCGAAGACATATGAAGTTCGCCAACACGCATTGGGGCAGCGCGGCGCACATTTCCTTGCCCTAAAACCCTCTCAAAAATGAGAGGAGGCCTGTGCCCAGCTGTGGGACGTAAATAGGCTGCAACTTTAGGCCTTAGGGTTATAGGCTGACGGCTCCGTGGCGCAGTGGCTTAGCAATGAGTTGCTGCGCTGGGGGGCGCGGGTTCGAACCGCGCACGGAACAAGTATTTGTATGGCCTACAATTAATTGTTCCGGGTCTGGATGTTTGTCCTTGTGAAATTTGTGTTTGTAAACTGCCTCCACGATACAGGAGAAAATCCTAGTGTGGGGGTAACATATTTTTAAACAAAGACAAACAAAGAAAGAAACTTTACTTTACTTTTTATAAAATTAATGGACCAAGAATCAAGTATATCTTATCAAATTGTCACGTCATCTAGTTGGAATTTGCCACTCAAAATACTATATAGGCTGATAACCACATTACCTTCCTTTGCGTCGCACAGTCGAGTAACAATGCTGTATTTTTTGTATATTATCATCATCCCATCGATTTCAAGTTTTATTTAAGTCCTACAAATATAATAAATACTATATATTACTAGGTGGTGGTACTTCCTTACCATAGGCTCTTTTTAGTCCTTAGATGTGACAACACATTTATAACTTTCTTCGTTTGAAGTTAAAGGTGCCAATGGGTTGCAGCTACTTACCATAAGGTGGACTGCAAGTTCGTTTGTCTTTTTTTTATGAAAATAAAGAAAAAATAAAAACAAATACTTTTTCAATTTTCTAAACAATTACACGATGAATCTACCTTAAAATTATTACTTACTTAAAAAAATATCTAAGTCAGGTCATAAAAACCGTCCGTGCAATTTTCATCCTCACTCTAGAATATAAAATATAAAAATAAGAAATGATTTATCACATAGAAGATTAAAGACAACAGAAATATATTTATTTCTTATCACCGATCATACTATATTTATTAAAATTCGTAATAACTTGACTATAAGCCAAAACTACAATTTTTATCTATACTGATATGACTTAATGAATAGTAAATCTTGATGTATGGCTTGAAAATCTTCCAATATTGTTTTAATACAGATAATCCTCAACAGTACCGAGTATAGGTAAATTTATCGTACGCAATTATTTGCGGTTGTATTGCGCAATAACACATACGTCTAGACATTTTGTGTAAGTGACGTCGAAGTCATAACTAAATCTTCCCAAAGATGAATTGAAAACAAAGACAAATTTAAAGGAGATTAGCAATGAATACGTCCTTCACTGTTGGCCGTATGAGGAAGCTTAACGGCGTTCAGCGAGCTTTGGAGACAGCTCGGGGTTTCTTAGCATGATAGATTCAAAATGAGGATATCCGTAGTAGAACCAGAGTAGCAATTTGGCGGCCGTATAGCTCAAAGAACCGACTACCGATGGGAAGGAAGGTTCTCGAGTGGCTGCCTCGTACTGTTAAGCGAAGTGTAGGACAGCTCCCAACTGGATAGAGTGATGACCTGGTAAGAGATGTTGGAAATCGACGGATGCCGGTGGCTCAGGACCGTGCCTTGTAGGATTCCTTGGTAGAAGATTATGTTCAGCAGTAGACTTGTGAGAAGCTGTATCAATGACGATGATGATTTTTTTAAATACAATAACTTTTATCAATTTCTCATTCTGAAATGAAGCCCCAAAGCTTTAGTTCTTCTATAGATACATATATATTAGGACCGACTTCAGAATGTGTAATCATTTTATTTTATTTTAGATGTTGGAGACCGTCTTTTCCTTTTTATTAAAAGTTAATTTTGTACCCTTTTATGCAGAATAAGAAATAATATTACATTAAAAACCTAAACCTTTTTTTTTCCTGGCGCCACCACTTTTCACAATTAACGAAAATATCGCAGACATATGAAAAAAGACGTTACAATCTAACTGGTAACCTTTTTTAAGCCGGCTAAAAACATTAAACGCCTAAAACCACAAGAGGTCTAATACTCCGAAAAATCAAATCTCGACGTTAATTCGATAATACCACAATGTTTTAAGCCAACGAAGTTGTAGGTGAGTTACCTGAAAACGCTCTTCGGTGTACAATAGTGAGTCAGATTGATTCACCAAGTTGTAAATCAGCTCAACATAGCAAAAGTACTGTCACCGCTGAGAGGATACACTAGAGTACACGTGAAGTATCCATACCAGTGTGGAAAGACCTTGCTCACAATTAAACTATGATCAGTTTTTATGCCTACGTATAAACACTGCATTTCAATTGTAACTAGAAAATCGGAAGAGAACAACATGACTATAGAATATGCAGTATTACTTACATGTATCTATCTATTGTGCAGGGATGAGTTCTACAAAACTATTTGGTTGGTATATGGTTACTACAATTAACTTTATGAATTATCACCATCGAACATGCGTTATTTAATTTTTCAGTAAATTTATACATATTTGATCTTAACCCTCATAAAATATATACACCTCATATGTTTTTATGGACCTTAATATCAATAATTTTTACTCGGAAATCTTTCTTATATTTTAATAAAATCTAAGACAAGCGGATAGGGTTGCTATCAGACGTCAGTCATAAAGATTAAATAAAATACCAGTGCCTGGAGAATCTCTTACATTCCGGTATTTAATACACATACTCGTATTGCTAAAGTTACAGATAACATTTACCCTTTTTATAGAAACAGGCAAACCAACCATGTGGTTCACCCGATGGCAACTGATTACCGCAGCCCATTGACCTCCGCAAGACGAATTTTAGGTACGTTGTCAGCCTTTAAGAAAGAAGTAGGTGCTTTTCTTAAGACAAATCCGTCCGGTAAAAACCCGCTGATGACATTAAATTTCTCAATGTGATCGTGCGTGGCAGAAAACTCCAGGAGAAACGTATTGTAATAAATCGCCAACAATCGTTGTTGGACAATTTTAGCGGCTGGAATTTATTCGAACTACGCATCGGGGTAAATTAGTAAATTTGATAATTTGCGATAATTCACATGATGATTGAGATGCAATATCTCTTCGTGAGGTCGGTGAATAAAGCAAATCAGAAAGAACTTGATAGTCGACATTGTCGACGACATGACCCACTCGTATAAATATGAAACAATGTTCCATGTCAGAGCGAACAACAAACAATTTTATTTTAAAATTACATTAAAACTGTTACAACTCACATTAAGTACACTCGAGACCACGGGTAAAATTATTTAATCTGTGCCATGGGTCACAACCAAAGATTGTCACAAATGGACCTGAATTACTTGCATTAATTACCAGCATGCCTCATCGGGTTATTCATCTATCAATTACAAAAACGAAACGCCTTCGTTTCTGCGACGATGTAGTTAATAAGGTAAAATCATCCTTAGCACTATACTCCTAATAATATATTTGAATTGATAAATCTTTTTATGAACACTAACAAGAACAATGTCAAAACGTAAATTTCACGCCTACATCGGAAATATTAGGCTTAAAATTGTTAACGAATATTATTTCTGCGATTATATTAGGTTGGAGATGTAAAATTTCTAATCACTAAAAGGAATATTTTATATTACTTATCTGCGATTTCGCATTCGCTTAAAATTATAAAATACTTTTCATTGTTTAAGGGTCAAGGTTTTTACAATAATTTTGAGGATTTCTTGAGGAAGATATTTGTGTAATGATCTTGTATATTTTAATG